TATATATATATATATATATATCATCAGCATCAACAACATCAAATGTGCTTCTTAAATCTATAAGAATTAGTATGTACAAGTAATTGAGGAAATTGCGAAATAAATTAATATACATAATAATAATCACAATGTGTTAATATATCTTGCATGGTCCATTCTATAACATATAAAAATTTAAGGGGTAAGATTTTATAAACTTTTATAGATATGAGTTTGTTTGAAATTTAACTAAAATTTTCCCAGGATAAAATTACTTATCAAGAAAGGCTAATTTCTCGTTCAAGTTCAATTCACTCACTTCATCCATTCGACACTGGTCAAACGTGCGATATTCATCCATGAGTTCCCTAAATGTGAATTAACTATAAAACCAACTTAAATTCAGTAGCCTCGATGAATTATCTTAATGAACCTATTTTTTTCATACCTCCTGATTAGGATTGTTATATAAGTGCACATGCTCATATTACTTCACTTGCATGCACATAAAAACTCACTCAGCCGCTTGCATTTCCTCTTTTTTGCATATTTAATTGTTGACTCAGAAGTATAGAAATATCATTAGTTTCAAACGTGATGCATAAATCTAAACAGTGAAGAACTTGGGGGGGCAAATTAATATACGTAACAATAATCACAATTCATAAAATTATTTTTTATGCAATAACAAGAATAATATTTCAAAGCCTTTTGATTTCTACAACAATTTTGTTGGGTTCAACATACTCAATAAAATATTAAAAAAAAGTATATAACACAAAATACTTAATGTAAATTTTAACTTTTTTTGTTAATACATCTAACAAGGTCCATTCTATAACACCAAAATTTAAGCGGTGAAAACTTTATAAATTTCAATAGATACGAGCTTATTTGAAATTTATGTAAATAAAATTTTCCTAGTATAAAATTATCTATCAGTAAAGGCTAATGTCTCCTTCAAGTTCAATTCACTTCATCCATTCAGGCACTTTGGTCAATCGTGCGATCTTTGCCTATGAGTCCGCTAAATGTGAACTAAACTCTAAACTAATTATTCTCAATGAATCGACTTAATGAACCTAATTTTTTCATGCCTCCTAACTAGGGTTGTAATTCAATTGAGTTGAGCGGAGCATGTTGTGAATTTGACTTGACGTGATCATATTATAAGTTGTTAATATTTGATTCAAGCTCGATTCGAGCTTTCTAATGAATGTTTATACTCGGCTTGTAAAATTTTTTAATGATTGTATTTATATTGTAAATGACTTACTTATTTTAATTGAACGTGTACTTAACAAAGTAATAAACAAAGTAAAAATTAGAATTAGTATTTATTTTTTATATAAAACTATTAACAAGTATTTTTAAATCAAAATAAAGTAGCTATCGAATACGTTTTGATTTAATTTTCATATACTTTATACTAATTAAATAAGATAATATACAAAAATGTAAGTAAGAATTTTCGTAATCAAATAATATAAATATATATTAAAAAACTTGATCATTGGAGAAAAAAAGTCCAAAGAATTTGAATTAGATTAATATGTATAATAATATTAAATTATGATTAGTTATAACTAAATAAAATTTCTAAAAAATTCTAATTAATCACATTTTATTTAAATAATATATCATATAACTATAGATCATCTAACAAGTTTCTTATTAAAAAATAAATAAGTTTGATCGTGAACATTAATAAATAAATTGAATCATGTTCATATTTTATTCATTTAATTTTCAAGTTCTTAAAAAACACTCAAACATATTTAATTACTAATTTGAACAATTATCAATTATTAAATGAGCTAAGTTCGAATTGTTTAGGGTTTAATTCATTGGTTCATTACAACTCTACATCTGACACTAACTCAAGTTGCACAAAAAAGATAGACTGGCTTCTCATTCCCTTGAACTCGTTTGGAGTTGGATTTCGACCTTCAGCTTCTTTAGCAGGCACAACCTTCATTACCAATGGAACATTCAAAGGAGTTTGGAGATTGATAGTAAGAGTTGAAGAAGGAAGCCCCTCTTGGGAGCCCATGATATTTTTGGTTGCAAGCTTAATCATTTTCATCTTCCTTTCAGAAGTACATTCCCTCTTTTGCATCATAAGAAATCCTTTCAAAAACTCAATTTTCAGAATCAAAACCACTCTAAGATATTCTTCATTCCTACAGTAAGAGGAACATCTACAAAACAAATGATAGAAAAAAATGGGGAAGATTTGTGATGGAATGACTCAAATGAGAAATAGTTGAAGACCCAAAACTCTTTCTTCTTACAGTAAGAGGAACGTTTACAAAACATTTTCTTCTTTCTACAATTATTGAGAAATAGTCGAAGACCCAAAACTCAAGTCATTAAATTGTTATTTAATTTTGTTAATATGCATTTTCTTATTTGATTATAAAAATTATCATTCGTTTATTTTTTTTCCGAACTTCACTAACAAAAAGATAAGAGAGTTGGAGAGCTAAATATGCATAGCCAAAAGTCTTGGACCCAATTCGAGTTGTTACATGAGCCATCTAGCTAGTCCATTAAGGAAGCTCGACCAATTATCATCTAGGCAGTATGACAAGGTGGCTCGCAAACACTACTCTACTAAGAAAAGTCGGCCAACTCGCTTAGAGAACCAATGTCACACCCCAACTAAATCTCCTAGTAGAGTCAATCGCGGTGCAACAAAGGCTGCCAGTTTGGTCAAATCAACTCTCAGCAGTACTCATTCTTACTTTTATAATTAAAAACCAGTGGGTGATGAATTAGTTTTGGTGGATCGCCACAACATACGTGATACATTGCATTTCAAAAACAAACTTGGAAACATGAAAATTGTATTATCTAAAACATGAATACTATACAAAACTATTAAATCTAATATAATAAAAATACATACCCAAAACATATGATCAAACTACCAAAACTATTGTGCAAAAGTTGTACAAAGACACACTTGGCTACTCACCCTAGTGCTTGTTGCACCTACCTGGAAGACAACAATAAAAAATGAGCGATAACGAGCTCAGATAAATAATTAGGACTAATAAAAGAATTTATACATGAAAAAGAAACAACGTGCATGCTCGTACGAAACTATACATGTCTACATACAAATCATAACATGCTAACATAACAAAATCTTGAAAAGAGAGCATGCACATAAATCAAAGTTGTAGTATAATATGTACGTCGTAAGCATAAAATTATAAGTATGATAAAAAATATATTCATAAGTATGTTCATAAGTTGTTTATCATAAGTAATTATAACAATGCCATTTCATAGTAATGTCACTAGTTTAATGTATAGGGTTCAACAATGTTCATGTACTTTTATCATGGGACGTCACTTTGCCCCAAACGCCATATAAACTATCAATAAATGTTGGAATCCCTAAACATAGCAGTTATTGATAACCCCTCTGATACTCATGGTTCACTTAGGTTATGTCACCTCCTAATATCAATGGCTCCTAGAGTTTCGTCTTCGTATAAATATCAAGTGTCGGTAATACTATATCCCTACATAATATACTTACAAGCACTCATGTCATAATCTGCTCATAATATTACTCGTGACATTGAAATCATCACTCATGCATAGCATTACATGTATCATAGGCATATGCATGAAGCATCACGAATGAATACCCGCAAAAAAATTCATATCATATGTAGCGAAGCATAATCATAACATTACATATATCGTAAGAAAATAAACGTGCATTCATATTTTCAATTGCAGATATCCATTTATAATATACAGGAGGTTCTAATGGATCAGTGTCAAAATAGAAATCATATGAAAACTTATACACAATTTTTTTTCTTAAAATAACACAATATTATTTCACCTGACATGACGAAACATCTCTATGACGAGTGCACACACTCGTGTCGAACTCGCTGCCTCGTATAGACAACCTGAAGCTCATAGACAATATACGGTTTCATAAATTTTGGTTCAAAACATGAATTAACCCAAAAAGAAAAATACTTTGTTTGTCAGAACATACCTCAAAAGAACTTTCTGGCATAACAGGTCCGTTCGAAACTACTTAATTTCTTTTCTATTACCTCCAACAACAACTCTACGATTTCATGCTAGAACCTTATGAAAGTTCATAAAGAATCTTCGACGCTTCTTACACACAATCGGCGCCTTCGACGCTACCAGAAACAATATTTGCATGAAAATGAGGCAAAAGTCATAAATAAGGGTGAGGAAAGAAATGAAAGCCTAAAAAGAAGAAAGAGAGGGACTGCTACCATTTAACTTAGGGTCTATTTGAGGCAACTGCAGCTTATTGAATAATTTGTTGATGAACTGATTAAAAATAATCTGTTGATAAGCTAGGTGCGGTGACTATTACAAATTTTTATTTTTTTGGAAAAGCCAGAAAGCTGCCACTGCACCTAGATATGTGCGGTGTGAAAACGTTGTTTTCAGCGTTTTCAAAACGCATAAGCTGCCAAAACGTAGTTTACCCAAACAAGCTAGGTGTGTTTTCAAAGCGCCACCACACCAAATAAGCTGACCCAAACGGGTCCTTAGTTTCAGAGCTCACTGCCTTGACTTGCGGCTCCCAGAACTGTCGCTTGACCCATCTGTATCGCGCGGTTACTACAGTAGCGCGATTGCAGGAACTCCCCAGGTGTGGGAAATTGAACACGAAGAGGGGGAAAAATGCGAAGCTCAAGAGCCCTAATCGAAATCAATAAGGCAAAGGATTGTCAGTTAGCAAAAAGTGCTCAAGCGAGATTAAGGAAGAATTAAGGTTTAAAAATTTTTAATTAATTTGATTAAACTTAAAACTTTAGAATTTTATATCTCTCAAACCATTCATAATTAATATAGTATTGTTCGACTTCATGCATAGAATTTTATAAATTTATTTTGATCAATTTCCAGGAGATGAAAACTTTTTAGGTACTTAATCAATTATGCCAAATTTTACCTGATATCAAAAAATTTGGGCGTTACAACCAACTTGGCCAAGTGCATCTGGAAAATTTGAGGGCGGGTCCCTCTAGACAAATGGAATGACTTCACCATAAGGGGTGTCGAAAATTGACACGATGCTAACTCAATCCAAACTTGACTAAAAAAATTTGGGTTCTAGTAGAGCCGAATAAGTTTTGGGCATTTTGAAGTTAGGAATCTTAGATTGTTTAATTTTTTGGCCGAGGTTAGGGTTGACCAACCAACCTGAAATTGACTTAAACTTGATTTACCAACTCAAAATTGATGAGATTCACATGAAATTGACCAAAATTTGACCCGAATAGCTATTATGACTTGTGTTACATGAGTTATATGGGTAGGGCTTGGGTTGGTAGATTGAAGGCGGAGTGGGTTCAAATTGGATTTTCTAACTCGTTTAATATTAAAGTCGAGTTAAGTAGTTTTGAGTTGGGTCAATTTCAAGTCAGATCCAATCCCATCCCACAAAAATTGAATGGACACTCTTACTTCACCAACTTGCCTCTATCTTGAATAGGTTGATAGGCAAGTTATTGAAGACGGTATGTAGGAGAAAAAGCACATACAATGAACCAATACCAATGAAGGAATTACAAGAGATTATTGTAGATACGCAGGAAAAAGATAGACCAACATGGACATAAGTTAGCTAGCACATATAGCTTATCATCGTGGCTGAGCCAGAGCCAAAAATAGAGAAAATAAATTATTCATCGATATTCACATTAATTATGACATGTGATATATATATGGTCAACCCATTTATAAATAAAGGGGGTAATTGCAGTGTAGAAAAACATTTTCCCCAAATACAGACACAGACACACTCAGAGAGAGAGAGAGAGAGAGAGAGAACTAAATTTAGAGGAGAAATATGCCTTAATTTTTATGTGCTATGCTACAATAATTACAGTTTTAATCAGGATTCATCATATAGATCTTTCACCAAGACTTTCACAATGTTCTCAAATATCCTAGAACGGATCTTGCAAATATGATTTTGAAAATATGGTTTGGAATTCAAAGCAGCATTTTCATAGCCCTAAAGAGAAAAACCAAGCCAACCACCTATTGTCGCTAAACTTCAAACATTATCTACAAATGTTGCGTCAATGCTTCTCAACGATGAATAGTTGACACATCTTCCTAATTTCCTAATATCCCCTCTATTAAAAAGAAGAAAAAACTCAGCCCCACATCAAAATACACATCTTTCCAATTTTCCTATTGCCCGCCACCAAACACTTGACAACAATTGATGTTTAATATCTACTAATAGCCAAAGTTCAACGCTTATCTTCTAAATCTCCTAAACTTACCATTATATATCCAAGATAGCCATAAATAATCTGTTGACAACTCTGATTTTTTAAAGACTCCTTTTACACCACAATATATACCTTTGAAGATTAAAATCTACTTGGGTTGGATTGACATCTCCTCTAAGAAGGAAAAAAAAAATAAACGACTTGCGTATTGCTCTCGACTTAATTGTGCATATAAATTTTAAAACGTTAAGATAATTATCCCTTCACCTACTACGATAAAAACAAGCAAATAACGATTAAAATACTAAATTAGCAATTAAATAATAAAAAAATTAATAAAATCAAATTCATGTAAGTTTCTATAAATCATAATTACCAATGTGTTCTGAATTAAAAGATTCTATGAGAGAATAGATGTAAAAAAATTAAAAATTCCAACATAGATAACAGAAGACATTAGCCCCGATGCCACTGATTTTATGAAAACAATAAACGGGGGTTAAAAGACAATCAGACAAACCACCATTTGAATCCTGAAAATAACATAGGGAAGATGTAAGTTTCTAGGAAGTGATGATTAAGAAAAATTAACTGTGTTCAACATCAACCAGTCACCACCACTTCCTGTATATGTACATAAACATTTAATAGAGTCCAATCGGCAATCCATTGGGAGAAATATTTTTCAATTCCTTCTACATCAGTCAAAAAAAATTCCTCATCTAAAATTCTAAGCATTCAAGGCCAAATATTATACTACATACAGCTAAAAGCGAGGTAGTTTCCTTCAAAAATAACAGATCTAATTAATAAAGAGCATATGGCCCGCAGAACGTCAGGATAAATATTTGTGTTTGCATATGGAAAAATTTTTGTGTATTCTCAAATCTTGCACATTAATTTTTATATTTACCGATGTAAGTTTCTAGGAAGTGATGATTAAGAAAAATCAACTGTGTTCAAATCTTGCACATTAATTTTTATATTTACCTGACACTTAAATCTTTAATGTCAAAATATCATCATTACTTCCTATTCTAGAGTGATATATCTTTCATACGCTTATGACACAAAAGTGTTATAAATATAAATATAGAAAATTAGTTGGTAGACATGAAAATACATAAGAATGTTGTGATATATACATTTTCCGATTAAATATAGAAGACAATAGTCAATGCTCAGATTAACAACAACAATAATTATACTAGCCAGGTATCATGTGAATACAATATCGTGCATACAATGATATACATACATATATATAAGAGGACTATACAAATCAAAGATACAACAAAATAAACGCATTTAACAGAGGAAGAAAACTTTTCATTTGGTGATAACTAGACGAGAAAATTATCTATCAAATGTGAGACCACGTCAGCACCATCCGAGTTCAACCAGTAGCTTTTGACCTTCAAAGATTAAGTGAATCATGAAAGAAAGAACTATTTGTTACAAAATTATCGGCACAGCATCATGGTTACCTAATGCAATACCCCACCTCCCAAGATAAAAAAAAAGAAGGCAAAGAAAAGTAAATTGTAAAGACGAAATCAACCCAAAAAAAAAAAATAACATAACAAAAAGATTTTAATAACCAGAATTCTGAACAGGTGATTTCTTCCAATTTTCGAGTAAAAAATCAAATTAACATAAAATAATTAATAAAAAGTTAGCTATTAATACATGTAGGTTGCTAGAGAAGAGCATTGTTAAGCAAACATTAACCAGCAGCGAGACATTTTTTTATAAAATGTACGATATATAATCTGCTAGTTAGTCTACAGGCATCCGATAGATAAAACACAAACCCATTACGTTACCCATGAAGATATCATCCACCATTACATTGCCTTGCATTTATAGGCCTTTGAATATCGCAATCCATATATTATTTCCTTTCATGGCTGATTTTAAGTAAATAAATAATAAAAAAACTAAAAAACAATCACAATACATCACATGGATTCCTGAGCTTAGGAGTGGCTGGCCATTACATGTGGAAGGAGACTGGTTCCAAACCAAAGAGAATAATACATTCTAAGAAGGCTAGATTTCAGCAAAGCATTCAAGAAAGGAAACTGGTCCTTGCTATTTGGAGATTTCTTGATTGGTTTTAAAGAGAAAATTACCACATTTGATTGGAGTACGTTTATAGCAGTTAAATATTCCTCTGGAAATTTACAAGCAAGCCAATTGATGAAGGGAAAGGCCTTACAAGAGGAGTAGTGAAATCCAAATTTCTATCAAGTCTTCAAGCTTGAGTTTCATGTGATCATTCTTCAATTTTGTGAATTTTATGTAAATAATCTTCGAACAAATATTCTTGTTGAGTTTAGTTTTCATTGTTAAGCATGATCATTTCGCCGTGTTTTGCATCATTAACTCAACGTTGACAAATTGCCAGAATATTTTAAGTGCTTCGGCTCTAAGTCCCCCCAATCTTAAAAGGCTTAGGTATTGTGAACGTATAACCTATAGCATATAAAGATAAATCTCAGTAGAGACTCAAGCATCAAGATAATCTGAAAACTGATTATTTTCAAAAGATGAAGAACATGCCAACATCATGCTGCACAATCGTCACATCAACTCCCTTGTCCAGCTCTATTGTTTGCAGCCACTCTTACACCAACCCCAACATAGAATCAACCATCGATTCCTACACCAAAGTCTGTTCAAAGACGATCACTAAATATTCTTATGCCTCCTCTCGAGAAATAAACTAAAGTTGTTTGTTCATTCCATGGCATGGATACACAAGCTGCTCTATCATCATCTCCTCTCAGAATGTGGAGGAACTTCCTCCAAGGTTAAAGGTCACATCCTTAGAAAGCTTCTACAGCAATACCAATTTTGTCAACTAACCGACATTCAAAATCACATCATCCCCATTATTTCCAAGGCAATTTTGTTGACAATTAAATATCAAAAAAAAAAAAAGAAATAAAGGAAAAGTAAAAAAAAATTAAAACTCCTAATTGTTCCCGCTGCACTCACTGCTATTGCTCAGTTTCTAAAACACTTTGCACGGCATAACTCACAAAACAGAAGCCCTCGTCTTCATTGTTCTTCCCGATTGTCCTCTTCTTTTAGTTCGAAACCCGGATGAAGTCCCTCCCCACTTCTTCCTTTCTATTGCAGCAAACCGAGCCCCTTTCCTGTTTGCCTACCTTCATGATACAGCCATGACTAAAGTAGAGAAAGCAATGACAGAACCGTGACACACGAAAACCTTTGAAACTCATGTGCTTCTCTCCTTTCGAAGCTGAAGCGTCTTTCTCCCTGCTTTAACCTTAAGCTTCATGATCCCCTTCACTCCTGGTAAGTTCGCATAAGCCACGTCCACTCTTGCTGCTCGTCTCACATCCCAGCCATAAAGCCCTCCGATCTAGTTCGCATGTATGAAACTCCATCCTCGCCCTACTCCTCCCTACAGGCTTCTTGATCCAAGTTCGCATAATACAGTCGCGATAAGATGGTAAGGAGAAAGGCAACGATGGGATTGCAACACACAAAAAACTCTGATCTCTCATCTTTCTCACCTTCCCCTCATCTATACGTTCTTCGTTCATTTGATTCAGAACTCATCCTTATTCACTTATCCTGATTGCTCCCTATTTGAAGATGTTATCCATTTCTCCTCTTTGTTTGAGCCTTCACTAACCCGAACACTGCTTCTGCAATTGTCCCAAGCATCAAGTTGAACCCCATTCTTCTTTGGGCCGGCCACTTTGCTACACCATTGCCATATCTGTTCAAACACAAAGCCAGACCAGAGTCTCTATATCTCTTTTAACATACATTATATACCATATAAAATAAAAAAGAAAAAATCTGAGTTAACTTTTATTTTCGTCGAAAATGTCATCTATTGTCTTGTCGTCAACGTTGCCACCTCACAAACAAAGGTATAAATTCAAGAAAATTGTGCTCGCATCACTTTTCATGCAGGTTAATTGAAGACCCAACATGTCTTATAGACTGTGGGTTAAATTATAATCCAAAATTTTGGGTGAATTTGGACTTCGACTATAAAGACTTGCAAATAATTTAAATGTGAACATTTGGACTTACAAATGATTAAAATGTGAACTTATTGGTTTTGATAATTGAACAAATGAAAGTTTTTAAAATAATAACAATTGTCACATTTGACAATGATTGAATACAATATCAGCAACAACAAACCTTTATCCCACTAAGTGGGGTCGGCCACATGAATAATTTTTCTCCATGGTGTCGTATTGAGTGACATATTTTCATTTAATTGTAATAGAATAAGATAATTTTTATACAACATGCTCAAGTCTTTCTAGGTCTACCTCTGTCTTTCTCACCATAAGTCAAATCTAAAGCACCTAACAAGATCATCATATGGTCAACATTTATGTAAGCAAATTATCTAAGATGAAACTCTCTAATCTTGTCGGCTAGCTGAGCTACACTAGCCCTTTCATAGATATATTCAATTCGCATTTTCTCCAAGTGTAAAGTCTCTCATCCAGTTAAGCATTCTCATATCAACAACACTTAACTTAGTTTTATGCTTCTCTTTTATAGGCGAACAATTTGCATCATAAAGCATTACAGGTTTCACTACCATCTTATAAATTTTCCTTTAAGCTTAAGTGGGACTTTTCTATCACACAACAGACCCAATGCATTCTTCCACTTCAACCATCCAGCTTGAATTCTACTAATAACATCTCCATCTATATCACCATCAATTTGAACAATAGACGAGAGATATCTAAATCATTCGATCCTTTTAAGGACTTGATCACCTATCATTACAACCCCACAACTAGATCTACTAGTACTAATATTACATCACAAGTATTCCGTTTTAGATCTATTCAAAAGAAAGCCTTTAGATTCTAAAGTTACTAAAATTACATTACAAGTATTTTGTATTAGATCTCTGTTTTAGATCTATTCAAATGAAAGCCTTTAGACTCTAAAGTTAACCTCCATAATACAAGTTTTTCTTGAACTCACTCGTCTCATCCACAAAAAGGATATCATCAGGAAAAAAACAAAACCAAGGTAAATCCTCTTGTGAATGTCAAGTAAGAACATCCATAATTAAAGCAAAACGATATGGGCTTAAAGCTGATCCCTGATGTAACCAACTGAAATACAAAAATAATTGGTCAATTCTCTTTTTGTTCAAACACAAGTAATAGCTCTAGTATACATATCTTTAATGGCTCGATTATAAGTCATATCAACACCTTTCTTTTTTATGACTCTCCAAAGCACTTCTCATCGTACCTTATTATAATTTTTTTTTCTAAATCAACAAAAATCAGATATAGATTCTCCTTACTCTCTTTGTACTTCTCCATAAAACCTTTCAATAATGTAAAGCTTCATGGTAAACTTGCCCGTATAAATCCAAATTAATTTTGAGAAATCATTACATCAAGTCTCAGGCTATGTTCAATTACTCTCCCGTATTTTTAATGCATCACAAATTAACTTAATTTTTCTATAATTTGCACACTCTTATGCATCACCTTTATTCTTAAAAATATGGACCAACATACTTCCTCCAATCCTCACACATATTTTTAGTTTTTAAAATAATACTAAAAAGTTTAGCAAACAAAGCAATTCTGAAATCCCCTAAATATTTCCATGATTCTATTGGGATACCATCAGATCCTATAGATATTTCATTCATCATTTTCTTTAAAGCCTCCTCAACTTTCATTTTACAAATACAACGGTAAATATAAAAAGTTCTATTTTTATTAATTATATTAAGATTACTAAAGTTGATCATACTTTCAAAATCTTCATTAAAAAAATTATCAAAATATCTCACACCTATGTTAAATATCCTCATTTAATATATTTTTTTTCTTTCTTAATATGCTTTATTTGAACTAAATCTTCATTTAAAAGTTTATTAATATAATATTAAAATAAAAAAGTTCTTTTAATATTAATTATATTAAGATCATTAAAATAGATCATATTTTCAAAATCTTTATTAAAAAGTTTATCAAAATATCTCACACATCTATTATGAATATCCTCATATAATAAAAGAACGTTTTGGTTTTAATCCTTAATGCACTTGAACAAAATCTTCACTTTTCTTATCTTTTGTTTGGCTTGATTATACATATATCTTTCACCTTCTTTAGTATTAAAGATATTATACTTTCACCTTCTTTTGTATCAAAGATATTATAAAAGTCACGAAATTCTTAGTATTACAAATTGTTCTCATAGATTACCTACAAACCACCTTATATTTCTTCTATATTATTATTCTACCACTAACTTTTTTTATTTAGAAAAGTTTTTCATTTTGATTTTCCAAGAACATCTTTTGCAACTTATTTAGTAATGCTCGTTATTTTATCCTACATCGCATTAGCTTCATCATGACCATCCT